GTTTGATTTTAATGTGGTTTCTTTCACATAAAAATTTACACAGAAGACCAAACTAAGCCTACCAAGAGAATGATAAAAAATTCCTCCAATTTCTCTTTTATCTTCGAATGACTTGTATGTCCAAGACTATTACAAGAACTGGAGTAAAATCATGGTATTACTTTCAAAGCTAAAAGATCTAGAGCCTTACTTAGTCAACATACTTAGTCAACATAGCTGATATTTAAGTCAAATAAAAACCACAAAGGATGTCAAATGGACCACAGTCATGAGCTGCTAGTGAAGTAACAAAAAAATCACTGTTACACTTTATTTATGACATTGCTATTATGCATCAGTGATGAACACTGTTTGTCTTACAGTGGTGAACTGTTCTGATCCTGGCTTTGTGGAAAATGCAATTCGGCACGGACAGCAGAATTATCCTGAAAGTTTCAAGTATGGAACAAGTGTGGCATACCATTGCAAGAAGGGCTTTTATCTGTTGGGCTCATCTGCTTTGACCTGTAAAGCTACTGGCTTATGGGATAGGTCACTACCAAAGTGTTTGTGTAAGTATTCGTTCAGTTGGATTAACATTAAAGAGTTGTGCATGATTTTTAGTCATGATACACCAAAAAAAGTGTAGCCACCTATTGAGGAACAAAACAGGACTTTAGGATCAAAGTATTGCAAACTGTGCAGCTCAGTAACACTAAGACAAGATGTCATGCAACTTGTCATTATTAAAAATGGGTTTAGAGGGAACTGTGGAGCTATTATTCGAAATGCCAGAAAGTTAAGATTGATTTCCCCTTTTGGTGTATTGTTAAGATATCTGAAAACAACTAGAGAAATCTAAAATTATTATTTATGTTATCATTTAGATTGATAGTCTAAGACCATTAATGCCTATCTCAGAATTTTTTTTTCAGATGTATTGAAAAGTATATGTGAGAACGAATCTATGAAATGTTGTGTAGGATAATTTTGCTCAAGAGGGTCTTTTCATGACATTGCTTCATAATTTCTCCATCACTTTACCTCAGAGAGGGAGGAAATCTTCTGGTGTTTCCTGTAATCAATTCAGTGAGCTTCAGATCTCTAGAAAATAAGTTTGGCTGACTTTCATTTTCCACTGAGATATTTTTCTTCTCTGATCACTATTAATTTTCTGACATTAGATTTCTGAATTACAATGCAATTATAGGAAATAATAAATTAAATGAAAGTATACTTTAATTTGCAAACACATCAGATGTTTTTAAAGTTTTTGCTTTACAGCATTGTGATTGTTTACTTAAATGATTTTTTGTATGAATTTATACTTATATATCAATCAGATCAATAAATGTAACTAGGTTAGTGAATTTGTTTCTTTTTTATGCTTGCTTTCTTCCTACTACTATGTATCTAATATCCACATGACCCAAGCAGTTTTGTTTTGATTTTCACAACAATCTATGCTTTCAATATCTGTCAATAAGAGCTATAATCTGAAAAAGGGTTTATTCATATTTCAAGAATTAAAAAATTAAGCAAAATACAACATTTTAAATACAAAAGAGCTGCATAAAATTGTTCATTTGGCAAGAATACTTTACTGATGGAAGCATGTACCTCACTTTTTGTATCTTTGAAAAAACATTATGAAAGTCTGTGGCCCAGTTCTGTTGGATCCCTTCCTACTTCCAGGACTGGGGTTTCAGTGTGAAGGGACGCTCATTATGCAAGGGGCAGAAGAGGATGGGGAGTCTAGATCACCTAGAATAGCTACGCATCTTTCCATATCAAATGTTTTGGAAATTTGATAGCATTTGCATGGCTTTCTGTTTTTAGGCAGAGCTCGAGGAAATTCACAGGTGTCTGTCCCCTCAGAATAGGAATTCCTGACCTTTCACTGGGGAATATTGGTTGAGGTCATGAGCCTGGGAGGTGCCTACATTCCTCAAAAACCTACCAGATTAGCTGCTGCTAATTTGCTGCTGATGGACTGAAACACTATCTGAATCCTAAATATCACCAGGACAAATTTAACATTCTTTCCCCTAAGAAAACCTCAGTGAAATGAATAGGGCTCTTTCTATGAGAAGGATCTGTTTATCTATTCACAGATGAAATCACCCAGAGTCTTTTCAAGTACTATGAGAGAGATGTAATTTTCAAAGGTTAT